ATATAACCACAGGATTGTCAAAATAGGAAAATTAATACTGATATACTGTTATCATCTGATCTATGGGGCTTATGCAAATTTTGCCAATTGTCCCACTATTGTCTTCATTGCAAAAGGAAAAAATCTGGCCTGGTATCAAATTAAAGATCACAAGACTAATTTAATTGGCATATCTTTTATGTTCTCAATCTGAAACTTTCCTCAGTCTTTCCTTATCCTCCATGATCTTGATATTTTTGAAGAGTACAAATATTTATTTTAAGAATATCTCTTAATCTGATTTTCTTGGATATTTCCAATTTCTTAACATTAATATAGTTACTGTATTAATCTTTTTCTCTATGGTTAAAGCTTTGGGATCTTCGTTAACTACACCTTTCTTACGCCAAGATCATAAAGATATTCTCCTGCATTTTGTTTAGAAGCTTTATTTATTTACATATTTTTTAACCTTTCAAATTTAGATTAACAATCGATCTGGAATTGTGCTTTCGTGTTGGTATATTGTAAAAGTCATGACTCAATTGTTCACATATATACGTATATATCTGTGAATATATGTTTAAAAATACATGTTAGATAGAAGTGTGTGTACATATTGGATCTATACATATACATTATATATGAATTTTTTGTGTGTGTGTGAGGAAGATCAGCCCTGAACTAACATTCATGTCAATCCTCCTCTTTTTTTTTGCTGAAGAAGACTGGCCCTGGGTGAACAACTGTGCCCATCTTCCTCTACTCTATATGGGATGCCGCCACAGCATGGCTTGACAAGTGGTGCATTGGTGCACGCCCGGGATCTGAACCCCGGGCCGCCAGAAGTGGAGCGTGTGCACTTAACCACTACACCACGATGCCAGCCCCTATATATGTGAATTTTTAAACAGATAGATAGTAGGTACACATGGAATTGTATATACATACTTGATGCAACACTATTGAAAAGAGCATAGTCAAAAAACTTTATCAATAGAATATCAATTCCATATATGGAATATGTCCATTTCATGTATATTTTCAAATTTAACAACATAAAATTATTAATATTATATTATTAACTACTCATTAACTACAGATCTGTAGTGATGACTTCTGTTGGTGGTCTTCTCCCATTTTTAATTTTTTTTTTTTTTTTTGCTAACGAGGATTCACCCTGAGCTAACATGCTGCCAATCTTCCTCTTTTTGCCTGAGGAAGATTTGCCCTGAGCTAACATCTGTGCCAATCTTCCTCTATTTTGTATAGATCGTGGCCTATTTTGTATTGTGGGTCACCATCACAGCATGGCCACAACATGGCCACCAACGAGTGGTATAGGTCCACAGGTAACATGATGTTATACATAGAAAACCCTGAAGACTCCATCAGAAAACCATGGAAATTAATAAAATTAGTAAAGTTGCAGGATACAAAAACAATATGCAAAAATCTGTTGCATTTCTATACGCTAATAATGAACTATCAGAAAGAGAAATTAAGAAAATAATTCAATTCACAATTGCATCAAAAGGAATAAAATACTTTGGAATAAATTTAAACAAGGAAGTGAAAGACATATATCGAAAACTATAAGACATTAATGAATGAAATTGAAGAAGACACAAATAATTGGAAAGATATTCTGTGTTCATGGATTGGAAGAATTAATATTGTTAAAATATCCAAACAACCCAAAGCAATACACAGATTAAATACAATTTCAATCAAAATTCCAATGACATTTTTCACAGACATAAAACAAACAGTTCTAAAATTTGTATGGAACCATAAAAGACCCCAAATAGCCAAGGCAACCTTGAGGAAGAAAGCTAGAGGCAACACATTCCCTGTTTTCAACTATATTACAAAGCTATAATAATTAAAACAGTGTGGTATGTGCATAAAAACAGACACACAGATCAATGGAACAGAGAGCCCAGAAGTAAACCCACACATAGATAGGCAATTAATTTATGAGAAAGGAGCCAAGAATATACAACAAGGAAAAGACAGTCACTTCAACAAATGGTGTTGGGAAATTGGACAACCACACGCAAAAGAATGAAACTGTGCCATGATCATACACCATTCACAAAAGTTAACTGAAAATGGATTAAATATTTGAATAGAACCTGAAACAAAAAACTCCTAGATGAAAACATAGGCAGTAAGCTATGCAAGAATTCAGGGAAATGCAAATCAAAAAGACAACGAGATATCACCTCACATCTATTAGAATGGGTATCATCAAAAAGACAAGAAATAACAAGTGTTGGCAAGGATGTGGAGAAAAAGAAACCCTTGCGCACTGTTGGTGGGAATGTAAATTGGTGCAGCCACTTTGGAAAATAATTTGGAGGTTCCTCAAGAAGTTAAAAATAAGACTACCATATGATTCAGCAATTCCAATTCTGAGTTTTTATCCAAAGAAAATGAAAACACTAACTTGAAAAGATACATGCACTCCCACCTTCATTGCAACATTATTTACAATAGCCAGGAAATGGAAACAATCTAGTGCCCATCAATGGATGAATGGATAAAGAAAATGTGGTATATATGCAATGGAATATTATTGAGCCATAAAAAGGAGGAAATGTTGCCATTTGCAGAAATATGGATGGACCTAGAGCGTATTACACTAAGTGAAATAAGTCAGACAAGAAAGACAACTACCACATGATCTCACTTATATAGGGAATCTAACAAAAAGAAATGAGCTCATAGATACAGAGAACAGATTGGTGTTGGCAGAGGCGGGGTGTAGTGGGTAGGCAAAAGGGGTGACTTGGGTCAAAAGGTATAAACTTCCAGTTATAAAATAAATAAATCTCAGGGATGTAATGTACAGCATGGTTACTACAGTCAATAATACTATATTGCATAGTTGAAAGTTGCTGAGTAAATTTTAAAAGTTACCCTCAAAAGAAAAAAAATTTGGTAACTGTATGGTGACAGATGTTAACCACACTTACAGTGGTGATAATTTCACAGCATATACAAATATTGAATCATTATGTTGTATGCCTGAAACTAATATAATGTTATATGTCCACTATACCTAAATAAAATATAATTTATTAATCAAAGACAGATCACTTCACTACCATAATATTACAGCATCTGAAAAAGTCAACAATATTTCCTTAATATCATAAATTATCTGTCATGTTCAAATTTCCCTAATTGCCTCATTTTTAAACAATTGATTTGAATTATAATGTAGATAAGACCTCACATTGCATTTGCTTGCTATCTCTCTTAATCTGTGGGTTCCTAGTCCTTCTTTTTATTTCTTTGCAATTTATTTGTTGAAAAAAATCACATCCTTTGTCCTTTAGAGTTTCCTCTGTTCTGGAATTTGCGGACTGCATCCCATGCTGTCATTTCACATGTTCCTCTGTCACTTATATTTCCTGCTAACTGGTAGTTACAGGAGCTTGTAACACCGCAGATTTCCAGACCCCACCCTAAGAATGTGTTCGGTAGGACTGGTGTGGGTGCTGGGGATCTTGCTTGTCCTAAGAGCCTCAAGTGAGTGTGTTTGCCTCTTGTTTGGGAACTGCCAGCCTATCTGACTCCACCAGTAACCACAAGTCTGCCTCAGTCACACCAAGTATCAGAGAGAGATGCTGAGGTTCTCATTCCCAGCAGTGGGCAGTGGGGGTCACTGCAAGAAGAGGCATGAGCTGTCTTTTGTGGGTTCACTGAGACTCACAGCGGGAACTTTCTGGGACCCCCCCCAGGGCCTGGGCTTCCCTCCTCTAAGCTAGGTTAGGGAAACTTCTTAAGTCCTAGGACTTTCTCTGGCCTTGGGGGTGTGTGTCAGGGGAAGGGGCAAGTCTTGCTGCTGTGGCCCTTGAGAACAAGTGTGCTGTCCACAGGTTGGGTGACTTCGCCTGGGCCTGAGGGCTACGAGCTGCCGACAGTGCCCTCTTCTGTTCTGGGCTGAGGAGGCCGGTGGGCCTGGGATACAGGCCCAAACACTGTGCTCTTTCTTCTCTGCTGATAGTCCCCCACCCACACTCCCCAGGACCAACTATCCCCTTAACTGCTCAGGGACATTCCACTGGTAACAGCCAGCACCCGACTGCCATGGCACACAGCAGAAGGAATGATGTTTTTAGTATCTACATCAGATCACTTCACTACCCTGTTCAAATCCCTCCCAGGACTTCCCATCACATTTAAGACAAGAGCCACACTCCTCACCATAGCTGACAGGGCCTGCTGTGGTCCAGCCCATGCCTACTTCTCCAACCACATCCTTCATTCTTCTCTATCTTTCCTATAGGCCACACTGGCCTACCTGCTGGTCCTAGAACAGGCCAGCCTTATTCCTAATTCAGTGTCTTTGCACTTGCTATTTCCGCCTCCAGGAATACTCTTCCTCCAGCTCCTGACATGACTCCCTCACTCCTGTCTCCACTGAAATGTCACCTCCTCAAAGAAGCCTTCCCTGACTACCTTGTGTAACACGGCACCCCCCATCACTCTGTCCTCTTATCCTACTTTACTTTTCTTTATTGCAATTATAATGGCTTGAAATTATACAGTTTACTTGTTTGTTCTTTCCTTTAGTATGTGGGAACCTTGAGGAGAGGGGCTTTGATCATCTCATTGAAATAGCCCAAGAACCCAGCACAGTGGCTGGTACATAGAAGGTGATCGTTATATCTGATGAATAAATGGACAGATAGGTGGATTGATAGATGTAACGGCATCTTCTCAGTCCTGCTTCTCTTCTCCTTACACACATATACACACACACACACACTTGCACACACAGAGGGAAGTACTCATCAGGCTCTGCATTTCTTAAAGAACCTGCTTGTGTCCTGCCCCGGTCACACAGCCACATAGTTAGAAGCTGCACTCAAGGGTCCATTTGGAGTTAGAAGCTCTTAGAGGACCAGGTACCCCATGTGGGAATGTACTTTAAGGGAACAGAGAGGTTTGGAGACTGGCCCTGCGCAACCGGGATTTGAAGATAAACACTCTTACACAAAACCATTTTATTGAACAGTAATGGAGCCCAATGGGGCTAGACAGGGCTGGGAATAAAGGGGCATGTGAGCCTCAGCGGGGATGCTGCTTGAATCTCTTAATCCTGTTCTGGTTCCCGAGAGCAGGTCTTCCTCAGCGGCTCGCCCAGCAAGCTTCTGCGGGGTCAGCCTCCTGCCACCATGCTGTAATCGCCAATTTTGGGGGCTTGGGCAACAGAGTTCTTTATCCGACTCTGCCATAGCTCGACGTTTCTTGGGCGCCCGCCTGGGGACTGGCTTCTCTGCTTCCACCTTTGCTGGGGTGGCCACAGGAGCATCCCCATAGGCCCGGTAGCCACCAACCAGGCAGTATGTCTCTCCATGCCAGCACATCTGGGTTTCTCCACACCCTCGGTAGACGACATGGTAGAGACAAGGTGTGGGAGGAGGGGTGGGAGCCACTGCTGCTGGAAAGAAAATCGGAACTGATCAGTCACTTCTGCTGTACACAGGTCCTGCCAGGACCTCCCCTCTCTCATGTCTCTCTCAGTTTCTGCTTGAAGCTCTTTAATCTGCTTGGCATCCAAAACACAGCCCTGGCCCATCACCTCTATGAGTCCCCCAGAGAAGGGATATTGGCTGCAAAAGCAATTCCATGGAGCCTATGGCAGCAGCAGGAGATCAGGAAATCTGTTTCCCATTCCCAGAGAAAATGGTAGAACCCGAAAATAATTGCAAACAGGAACCCCTACATCTCTCCCTTCCACAACAAAGAAAACACTTCTTAAGGTCTGTCACTTCAGAGACTTTAATGGAAATGCCTTCCAAGTTTTGGAAAAATAATCTAATGTAAATTGGTTAAGAACTCCTTGCACCTTGGCAACTCCTCTTGGGCCCCATTCATTCCACCTGTTTCAACCACACTGAACTCTAGCCCTCTGATGCTTTGATCTAGATTAGAAAAAAGGCCAAATACTGAGGCAGAGTGACCAGGAGGTTCAGAGCCAGAATCTGGGTACCAAGTCTAGGCTCACATCAACCCAACCTCCTGGGACACCATTTCCCCGCCGTCCAGGCTCAGTACCACTTCATCACTCCCCTTGCCTCTTCTCTTCTTCCCATCAATATGACACGACTGTTTCCCCCAGTACTCAACAGCTCAGGCTGGAACGTGTCTGAGGGGAGCCCTGTGGATGTCTACATGACAGCACAGTGAAGGTGCCTGGGTTGGAAGGTGAGGTTCAAGAGTGGCCCTCAACAGCTCTTCCTCAAACTGCTCCATTCATCACTTGCCAACAAAAATGCACTTCTGCTGAGAGGCCACTCAGCAAAGGGTCTGAATGGAAGCATCTTGTAGCCCAAAGGGGAAGGCGTCATTTATAAACCTTTCTGAACCCTTGCCCAGGGTTGACATTTCACTTGTCCTCATCAGTGAGCAGGAACACTGTGGGTCCCTGAGGGGGCCCTAGGCCACTGATATTATTTACAGCTGGGGAAGCTCTGAGGTGTGGTGGACAAGCCCAAAAGGATCATGTGGCAGACAGGTGAGGTTGTGGGTATACCACTCCCTCTTATACACATGCTCAGACTCAACCTACCTGCTGTGTGGCATTCCCAGGGGACAGAGGACAAGTTAGAGTTAATAAAGATGGTCCGATCAGACATTCTCTCTCAGGCAACCTAACAGATTGGTATCTGGTAGAGAACTGGTAGGTAAGTTTCCCTAAGAGCACCACGTTTGCGTGGTTACCCTGCCATGGAAATGGAGGTCTGTGACGTCATCACTACCCAGTGAGGTCACATAAGGAACCTGTCACTTGAGCAGCAGGCTTCAGGCTCCTGGGGTTTTGTGGAGGACAGCAGGGTGGAGGCAGAGAGGCATCCTGCCTGGGCCCCCTCACCTGACCCTCCCCATCCATGCCCTAGTCAAGTAGCCACTCCCTGTGGAGCATACCTGTGGGCGGGCACAGCCCCAGGGACCACAGGAGGGCAAGAGAAACCCACATTCTGAGATGGGCTTGAGAGGCAAGATTAACTTAGAGACAGCTAAGTTGTATGGCACTGACCGTAAGTATTCAACAGTTGGAGAGGCAGAGATTTGTGTGAACTGGAAATCAGAGAAGGCTCCTGGCTGGTGGGCTTGAAGGACACGTGAGATTTGGACTCGTGGAGAGGAGAGAAGACATTCCAGTTGGGAAGAATAAAAGCAAAGACAAGCTCTTCTCGACCTTGTCCTGCCCCAAATGTAAATTCATAGAACCCTCACATATTTACCACTGAGGACTTAAAAAACCAAGAGGTTAAGGGGCCTACCCAAAGTTACACAGGTAGTGGAGTGGTGTTCTGCTCGATGGTAGGGCTTCATGTCAGTGGTCCAGATTTATAGCCGAGAGGAATATGAAGACAAGCTCATCACATTCCAGTGATACTGGGAGCGATGTTAAAGGTGGTCTAAGGCAAATGAGGGTCTTGAATGACTTCACATTGGGAACAATATGCCCATTTTAATATGAAATTCAAAACAAATTCATGACAAAATGACATAATACAAAACGACAACCTAACCATTACACTCCTCTCTCTCCCCCAACAGGGTAAATAACGACCATCCCGTCACCATGAAAGGAAGAGATGTGGGCTCAGCAGCAGCTGGGTGAACAACACGGTCCACTCTGTGAGGAGGTGTTCCTGAAAGACGATTTGTTCCTACTCCGAGGAGGAAATAGACAACTCTGCTCTCAGCCTGCTCAGGCCCACAGGAAGGAGCCATATTTGGGGCATGGTTTGATACAGCATGGCCAAGAAATTCCTAGCCATGAGAGATGACCTTCCCTAGGAGGGGGCTCCCTGTGGCTGACCTGGAAAAAGCAAAGATGGGACATTTGTTTATGGGCCTGCTGCAGAGAGGATGTGCCCAGGAGGTAGAGAATGCCTGGGCTACTATTTTAGAGGTTGGCCAGCCCTGGTTGAGAACCACAGCACCTTCTCTCTACTCCTAAGTTGTCTGATCAGTGTGGAGCAGGATAGGACAGACAACGTCAGGCCTAATTAGAGCAGACTGCTTTTGGGGAGGTCTCTGGAGGAGGTTCATCCTGGCAGATGGGCCAGCATAAGACCACTCAGATTCTCAAGGCTCCAGAATTGCCTGGGAGCATCCCTCTCATCTGGAGGGGGTATGGAAAGCTTATCAGCCTCTGACTTTGTCTCTGGTGAAGGCAGAATAGCAGACACAAATGGTTTGTCAATTTAAGAAGTCTTGAGACTCAACTGGAGAGTACACAAAACAACTTCTTAATTCCACATAAAAATACTTTTATGTGGATTCTTGGGCGACCCTCAGAAAACTTATCCAGATCTGGAGTGGGACTCAGGAATCTGC